CGGTAAATCAAATTTCGTGCTCCTAAGCTCGTCGCAGAACAGAAACGTCGACGAGGACCAGCCAGACGATTGCGGATACGACGACGACGAAGGCGAAAGCTACGACGACGACCACAACGATGGAAACGATACTGAAACTGTATTGTTGTGTTCTTCTCCTGTTCTCGCTGTGCCAGGCGATGCCTGAGCAACGTTCTTGGAAACCGACTAAACCAAAAAAGTGTCCCGGCGGATACCAAGAAGGTGCTGAGGTAAGAGCCGTTGAGTTTTACATCTATTTCTGTTTCTGTGGCTGTGTCTGTGTCTGTTCCCGCTTCTACCTCCGTTTCCGTTTCTGCCCGTCTCTTGATTGAGTAGGTGTTTGCAGACCAGCTCTCGGTGACTCAGCAAAGTCTTTGGCAGTCATTTACAGATCTGGTCAAGCTTCTCAACGGTTCCGGGAAAAGTGCGGTGGCTACAGTGATAAAGAGTGAATTTACGCGGAAAATCGGTCTTTCTGCTGATCAGATAACCCCTGACAAATAAATCTCCCCTTTCCACGGCATTAATTAGGTTTTCCCGATTAACGTACGCATTTAGCCATATTCCAATCTAAGACTTTCACGTGTGTCTGTGTGTCGAAGCTAAGCCGACATCGTTTTGTGTTTAAGGTCGTGAAAGGACGTTACTTTTACAAGTGTTCAAATGGCAAACTGAAACCGAAAGGATGCGTTACCGAGTACGGCAAGCAACTGGACCTGTGGCAATCGTACGAGGTGAACGGCTACCGCATGATGTGCGCCATCGACAAGGACAACATCTTGTACTACAAGTTCACCGGCTGTGTGATCAGCAACAAAACCTACTACCCGGGCGACACTTGGGCCGACCGCTTCTTCTGGTACAGCTGCAGTCCGTCCGGCAACGTGTTGACGATGGAGATCAAGGGTTGCGTTGTGGACGGTCAACGACTGAAGCCGGGCGACGAGTTTCTGAAAGGCGAGTTCTACTTCCGGTGCTACCGTAAGGTCGGCGACTCAATGGCCACTCGCCCGGTGGCGTGTAGCCACAACGGGCGAAGGTTCGAGATTGGCGACTTTTTGGATGGCGACAAGTTCTGGTACGTGCCGGCGTTGTGGTTCGTTTGGTTCGTTCGTGAGAGGTGTGATCGGCGGTGTTTCAGGTACGCTTGCAGTATGGCGAACGGTCGTGCGTTCAAGAAGGTGGTCGGTTGCATCCATCAGAAGAAGCGTCTAAGCGATGGAGACCGATACTTCGTCGGCGAGACGATCATCGAGTGCACAATCCGAAAGGACACGCACGAGCACCGCATCGTTGGCTGTGCCCAGAAAGAGGACGACAACAGTGTCACTCAGCGCAGGGTCGGCTGCCAGTGGATGGAAGGCAATTCACCGTTCCGGTACATTCGAAAATGCGTCGTGCAGAAGGACCGCGTAGTCACCGAAACGGTGGAGTGCTATTACGAGGTAAGGGGAGGAGGTTGACGGCGTTGGCCCCGGGCGTTGACCAACGGTCATCGTCAGGCTTTAGTAGTCCACACGCACACACACA